ATTCTGAATGTTGAAATTTAACTTTAGTTTTGTGGTATTTGTGGAACAATTGAAAAATGGTGGTATTTGTTTCTGGCTACCGCTAGTAATTTCTCAGTACAAAAAAAAAAATTGTAAGCAAAACAAAATATGCAATTTAATTTTCTTTCTAACATAGTTAAGATATGTATGGATTAACCCGTCAAAGACTTTGAAAGTGTATGTAAATGATTTCTTAATCTATTTTCAATCTTAAAAATCAAGTAATATGAATCAGAGAGAGTATTCCACACATGTATCTTAGTGATAGAGTCCATGATTTGTTGTGTTTAATCCATGTATTAAAATACCAGTTTATAAAAAAAAAAGTTGTTATACTTTAACTCTTCTTATGGTCAAGATATTAAATTAAAAACTCTAAACATTTGTGTTTGCTCCCTCTTGATATAACAAACTAAATATTAGGTAATATCTACAATTTCTCTCAATATCGTATTTTAAGGATAGGTAGAAAGATTCAAAATTGATTTGTTATGATAATTAAAAAGAAAAATAAAATTGATTTCCAATAGCATTTATTTTGTTATATTTATTAATAGTGACTATTAAAAAAACGTAGAATACCATATATAGTCACAAATGTATTAGAATTTGTTCCTTAATTATTTATATAAATGATTAAATGTGAAAATTGAACTTTTAAAATATTATACTTCAATATAATTTGTTTATTCACTAAAATGTTTAAACTCATATTAATTAAGTACGAAAATTTGAATATGGAAGATCTCATTATTGTTTCGGAAAGCACAAATCTCGTGATTATTGGTAAAAAAATATTTTAGTTGCTAAAATTCGAAAACATTTGTTCTACTGAGTTTATAGAAATATTGTAGTCACAAACGTATAATGCCATGTCACAAATGAATTAGAATTTGTTCATTAGTTATTTATATAAATGATTAAACAGAACACATAAAATGCCGGTGACCGGAACACCACTCTCACTAATTGCTTACAATACTAAATATGGGGATCTCACCAAAACTGATCCAGCCGTTGGGTTAGCGTTTTCAGCTTCATTTGTGTCCTGCAGCTGGACCTTCAAAGTTCAAAACGGAGGCAAACCAAACCATCTCCCATCAGTCATCTAGAGCTACGTTGAAGACTCAATCTGGCGTATGTATGGGTCTAAAACGGGTAAGTGATTCAGTTCAACATCCCCTTGTGATACATTTGTTACATTAAATGCCAAAAAAGTTTGCTGTGAAAAAAGGTTATTGTGTACCTGTCAATCGCCTTGTAGTCACATTGCCGTTTATGGAAAAGTGCACAGGTTGCCTTTCTTGTCTAACGATAGAATCCAGCTAGAGTTCAATCTCCGAGCAAAATCCTCTACTTCTCTGTAATAACATGAGGTTCATCATTTCTTATTTTGTTTCACTACATGACTGTGCAACTTGATGTAGGTCTAGATATAGGAATTGTGTGATACTTATTAAGTGAATACTCCTTCACGTAGCAAGAGTTCAAAAATTAGCAAGTGATACTTACCTATCAAGCATTTCCTTCAAAGCTGGATCAATTTCATCATCTATATAACCATCTTCAAACTCAGTCTTCAGTGTAAAAATGTCATCTTCCATYCRAAGTACGTTAGAGACCTCTCCCCTGCTGGTCGCACTCTCATCAACAATTTCAGCACTTTGTTGTTTGGAATGAAGATTATGTGAATCCTAAGCACAAGGAARAGACTCAGTAACTTGATRACTACTAACCAGGAGCAATTAGAGAGAAGCAAGTTCAAACCTTCTTGGAAGCTTCACATGTTCCATTTGATTTACCATTCTTATGCACCTTCCTTTTCTTGTTCTTCTTTTTGCTTTTGGAAGTCTTTGCCACCTTGGATCTGCATAACATCATTTTCCGTACCTTTAATGAGAGCTTAAAAAAAGTGGAAAAGAGAAAATAGAAGACTAAGAGGAATGCAAACATAAACTCTCAATCAAGGACACCCAGGATACCAGCAAAGATTCAAACATCAACTAATCTATCAACTCAGCCATAAAGTATAAGCAATAAGTATATTGACATGTAAAATGACCAATAAATATCCCAAGAGATTGCAGCACAAGACAGTGAGACTCTCATACCAGACACTCAGCAACCAGAAAAGAGTCTTATAATAAAATTAAATAAATCTAGGTGAATGTAAGAATCATAATAGACTACAGAGATGAACCATGTGATGCCATCGGCATGGAATAGGAGACAACTCGGAGC